GATGGTTAATCTACCCGTGTGTAATTGGAATAAAAATTAATTAAAAACACGTTGCCGAGAATATATTTTAAAAGGGATTCCAATAGCAATGAAAACGTAAATGTGTAAACGGTGAATAGTAATAAAAACCTGAACGACAAAGATAATTAAGAAGTACAGTTAGTAGAGTTGTTAACAGAAGTCGTTGAATTATTTGAACCGGTTGAATAATTAACCGATTGACTGAGGACAATGATAAATACCGTAAACAGAGATATAAATGTACGGCAGTGTGAAGTTGAGATGCATCGGCCTACATCGAGCGTGTGCGCAGGCGACCTATACGGACCTTGTTACGATGTGGGACACACACACATACACACAAACTAAGACATTACCGCTCATTTATATTCGATTGTCAACAACCCACACTAATACATTAAATCAACTTTGCTCGAAATAGATTTTCCTATTAATGAAGACACACAATTTCCATTTAATTGTTTACGGATTTAGCACGAAATTTGATTTCGTTTTAACAAGAATCCGTAGTCTAAACAGTGTTCAATAACACTCCAGAAATCTAAATGAGTTAAATATAACTTTCAAGTTCTTAGCCTGACCTTTATAGTCTATTTACTCGTTTAAAATTCCAATAACAGTCTATAAATCAATGTAAGTATATTGTATAACAAAAGTATATACCTACGCTAAAGTAGTTTGAGATACTTCAATATCAACTGCAGACTATAAAAAAATCGTTTCACAGTTAAACCGGGCGGACAACATGGTATAAAGAAAAATGAAAATTTGTTGGTAAGTATTTGATATGAATGAAAATGTATTTTATATTTAATAACTAGAAAAAGTAGACCTTCATATCACAAAATGCAGGAATTTGAATGCAGTTATTAAAATTTATATTTTACGAAAATACAATATTACATCTTTCGTTGTCAAGAAGACGACGAAATAGGGAACGAAGCACTCGGATTATGTTGTTAGGAAGATAACTTACAAACAGAATTCCACGTTCTAGAAAGATTTTCTATTAATACGAAACCATATTTGGTTTCTTCCCATTCGGTAATACTTGGTTATCCAGTATCTTTACCAAACTTAAAGAGGATTTAAGACCTTTTAAAATTAAATTAACAGAACCTGAATCCTAAAATACCTCTACAATATTTAGGAATCTTATCCAACTACAAACTATAATAATAATTACATTCCTAATTGGTACAGAACAAACATTTCTAGTTCCCAAACATTTAATACAATTAAGCTGTTATTCGTACCACTTACATCGTCTCGCAACTGGACCGCAATGTATGCAATCAATATCTCGATTGAGAGCAACTAATATCGATATATTAGTATTCGGCGTACATTCTCTAATCGATTGTACACATTCTAGCTTTTAGGGGCATTTGATTGTAGTTTATATAAGTTTAAAAGTATCCTTTCTAACTCACAGTTTCATATTTATAAATCATATGATTGTCACCTTTCAACATATTCCCATACAAACCAACTCAACATTAGCAAAACAAAAGCAGCATCTCAACTTGAAATCGACAGTCGTTAAACGAAATGTATGAAATTATTCTATACAATAGAATGTGTACAGTCTCTCTATCAAGGCAAGCTGAATGCTCGGTGCACTAAAACCTCGGTAGGTTGTATTAAACACGAACCGACTTGTGTTAGCTGCAGCCTCGATGCCGCCAGTGCAATCTAAATAGTTTAATCAGTAATACAACTAACATTATTTTGGTTACATTCGAAGGCTTTCCATAAAATTACAAGTGCTCGGAGGCGCATATCTGGATTAGTAACGTTATGGAGTATTTTTTGAGGTTATCTCTGTGGATAATTGTATCTATTCAAGTGTTTATTGTTGTTGTTGACAGTTGTTCTTCTGTTTTGTTTGTACTGTGTTCCCACTTTCCACCATGTGTCTCAAACCTGTTTCTGTTACCACAATGACTACTAGTACTAGTGTTTCTAACTCAATAAGCAGGTTTTACTACTTTTTTGCTTGAACTTCCTAATGAATGCTCACCGGCTTAATTTACTTGATTGAAAAAAATTGTTGCGTTTTCATCTTCACTTCTTTATTGTTTCTTTGTTTAAACTTTTTTACGTTAAATATCCTTGACGAATTAAGTTTATTCAATATTCTCTGTTATTTATTTATTTATATTCATTCTCATTATCACGTATTTTCAACAAAAGTCTTTCAAATACAATGTTGCCAAATATCACGAAAGTTGTTCTGTCAAACCTTGAAACACGTGGTAAGTCACGTTTTAATAAATATTTCAATATCTCTGTAACCACAGTTCATCATTAAACTAATCTCTAATGCTTTGAGATTTCTCGTTGAGACGCGACTCTGCTTTCCACGATTACAGCCTAGATCAAGCATCATCTCAAGCTAGTATCAGTAGCATTCAAACTGTTGATAAGATGAAATCAATTTATAAATTTCATTTTCCACTTCTTACGGCCATATTTATTTTTAAAATTGTCATTTAACTACAAGTTACATACATTTTTCGTAGATTTTCCTAAACTTTTCCGTAACTCATAGAACACTTCAGAGTTCTTACTACGTTTAGAATACTCTGTGGAACTGTAATATTGGTACCGCACTATTCGAGAGAAAAGCTCATCACCTTGCTCGAGAATCGGAAAAAAAATTCGTCTTCGTTAGTAATACGTATATCTCACTTGATGAGACTAATACAATCAAAATGGGAGCACTAATAGCAATACCTCCAGAAATACCAGACAATCAAATTAATGTGCCAAGACAACACTGAATCCTTAAAACTGTATTACGACCTTGTCTGATATGTGTAAACAATCCGCTTACATAAGGAGGCCACCCTAGTTAGCGTCCATTACTGGGCGACTCAGCGTTTGGCGTTGCATGACCGAAACAATTTCAATTACAAAAAACAACTGCGCACGCCTGATGTGTAACGAATACATATACAATGTGTACATAATAAAATATTTCTTTCGTAATATACGGTAGATCGAATTGGAATGATTTTGGTGACGAGATTGTGAGAGTGATGAAAACGCAATTGTTTTCCTTTAACGACTTGAAGTTCTTTTAACAAGTTAATATCGTATGTGTTCTCTCTTGTTAATAATTTGGCATATAAATTACCAGATGTTTTTAAAATTACTTAGTTTTTATGTATAATTATGGTATCATCAGTTGCTGTTTAATCTGAAAATTTTCCTTGTAAATATATTCCGGATGAATTTTTCTGTTTGGAATTTCCAGTGCATGTCTGTATGCAGACTATAAGGTACTTTATGAAACTATCGACCTATCTAACTTATAGCTTGTAATATTTTATGGGAAATGCTTACGTTAAATGTTAATTAAACCCAAAAATACATTAATGAATGCGTTCAAAAGTCTCTCAAACATTATACTTTCAATGTTTTACACGTCAACAAATTTCAAATAAATAAGTGTTTATCGTTGCGTCACTCAAATATTATAAAGACGACATTTGCTGTGCAATCCAAGGTTATATTTTATTCGATAAGCACACCAATACTGCACATTAAAGGCCAAGTTTTATTAGTACAATATTATTGTGTACAGAATTAACCAAATCCTGTTACAATTCTTACTTACTTTATGAATGTCAAACTTTGGTTTACGATTGTATGGTATTAGTTGTGATATAGTTTCCTAATGACATTAGTATCCTGGCGGCTGAGTAATTTAGACTAATTTTATTCGTTTGGCCACATTTTTTTCTTCTCCATTTTGGGAAACAATATGACAAAGATCGTATTAGCAACTCATATGATAAGTTCACCCCAAACAATTTGTGTCCCCCGAAAACCTTTGATTTATTGATGTGATTGTAAAGACAATTCGTATATTTGATAGGGGAGGTGTACTTAGGGGATCCAATTTAGTTTTATGTAACTTTATATCTATGGCATAGTATAGATAGCTTGAAGAATATTGAGAGGAAGTTGTGGGTGGTCGTAAATGGGACTTAAGATATCTTAGAACATCAACCAATCAAATATTATTTCTTGTTGCTCGTCCGTCATTATTCAATTGTTCTGGACTCTAGATAAGGCAGGATATGCCAGTCAGACCAGTCGATGTACAGATATCACTTTCTTTTACTATCTGCGTTTGTGTGTTCTTGTAGATTTTTGTAATTATCGTGTCGGAAGTAAAATAATAAATTCTAGACTTTCTAAACAGCACCTTTCAGACTTGGTTACTTATATTTTATGTTTATTTCGTGTTTAGTTCCTACATTCATAGTCTTAATCCGTTCTTAAAATAAGTTGAAAGAATTTTGTTCGAATTCTTTTGTCCTTAATTTTAACATTCCCAACATGTTAAAGAGAAAATTATTCACGTCTTTCATTTGCAAGGCCATCGTCGACGCTGATTCGCTCTACTTTTCGTTAAAACTTTCTGTTTGCGACTTAATCCTGCTGTATACTTTACAAGAAATTGAAATTATATTCATTTTTGTTCACAACTCCGTGTTTGCGTAGCAGGTCTACGAACCTAATCACTTCACTAGAGACGTTTACGTAATGTTAGTTGAAAACAATGACTTTAATTTCAGTTCACGTAATGGCCATTTACAGCTAATGAAAACCTACACACGTAACATATGAAACTATATAATTAGCAATGTTTTCGTACTAATAACATAATCGCAGATAAATTGCCTAATCTTAACAAAAGACTTCAACGCACGATCTTTTACCATGGTCTACTTTTATTACAATTTCATGGAGCCTAATATTTTATGAAGAAAATTACCTATTCAAGATGAGATTGCATTGATCCATTTCTTATTTTCATCGTTCGCTTCCAAAACTACGTGGTTTTGTTTTCTATTATGAGTATAAGTGTGAGAGTTCCATTGAAGAAATAAAATGGTTTGTGTATTCATTTATGTGATCTTAACGTTTCTTCTACGCCTTATTGGGTACTGATTTTTATTCACCTGAGAGGAATTGGCTGGAAGGGGAAGCGATGTGCAGGCGGATGCACGGGTGGGTGCACTGGCGGGTGCGGAGCCAATATGGGCGCCGGTGGGTGCACCGGTACAGGGTGCGGCAGCGGAGGCGGTGGCAGCGTGCTGTACGGAGGAGGAGGCACATTTTCCAGCAGCTCGGGCACCCGCGGCGCTCGCGCACGTCGCATGCGCCGCCGCCGAGCTGGCTCCTCCGTCTGGCACTCTGCACTCGCCACACTCCGCTCCCTCTCCGTCTGCACCGCACTGTTCACATTCACGGGTGCATCCTGCACCTCCACTATGTTCACGTTCACGTTCACACTGGACACGTTTTGTCGGCTCGGCTCGCCCGGAACGCGCACCGAGACCGAGTCCGACTTGCGCAGGCCGGGCGCGGGCACGGGCAGCCGCATATCGATGTAAGCGCGGGTTGACGCGCGCGCATGTCGACCGCCGGTTGGCGACTGGTCGGCGGCGCCCCCCGCGCGGTGTAGCGCGGTGTCTGTGCGCGAGCGCGCGAGGGGCGGCGAGCGGCACTCGTAGGGCTGCCACAGCAACGCGGACAGCGCCTCGGCGGCGGACGGCGGAGGCGCGCTCGCCACGCTCATCTCGTGACCGCGCTCCGCTGTCGCGCCAGCGCCGTCACCCGCCACCCACCGCCACCAACACCTGCTGGGAAACCTCTTGCTTAATTACCTCAAATAATAAAAAATATTCCCATCAAAGTTACAAACATAACTAACACAAGTACTTCGCAAGTCCACCTTCTGCTTCCCCTACAAAATTAATAAACAAACAATAGGAATCGTTTGTAGTTATAGTAGCCTCAATAATATTGTACAAATAAGATACTAAGCAATGCAATGTTGTCATTTTACTTGGCCGCAATAACTTACAGATCCATAGTACCTATTAGATGGTCAACCTACATTTCACACAATGATAGGGCGGGCTGTCACGTTCAGTTGAAACATTGCATTTCTTTCGATTAAGTTTACTCAATATGACATTAAATCAATTCAAAATTGTTGTAAACACTTCATTTCTTCCCATTCTTTATTAATTTTAATTATACTCTTGTAAACAAATTGCATCATTGAAAAAGCTGGAACGTGCAATCTAAGTACGAATAGCAATGAATTCTTTAGTGATCTTGGCTTTGATTCAAATGGAAGAAATTAGTTTCAATTAAAATCACATTTGAGACTATACTAATTCAAATTGAGGAAGTTCTTAATAACTTCCTACTTAGAGGCGCATACATAACATAATATAATCCAACACATACATAATTATGTTCGCTAATTCGTCTTACACATTACGTGTGTATGTTCATACAAGTGTACCTGTGCGTTATCTTTGAATCTGTGAAAAGTATGTTTGGAGTAATGTCCGCTCCGCTGCCCCTTCCCTTACGCAACTTTCTGTTCGCTCTACTTACAGTACCTCCTCGTGTATCCGTCCTCTTATCGTCGTACTTTTACATTTCTTCCGAAAACTTTTATCCTACCGACGTACTTATAGTTGTTCAAGTAGGAATTCGCAGTAACAATCTTTACATTGAAAACCTTCGTATCCATACAACAATTGCTTTCTTTTAGCATGTAACAACAGTCTTCATCCAGTATATTCAGTACACAGCGACTTAGTCAATTTTCTACAAGAAAACATCCGCCTGTTGTGGCAAAACGGACATTTGCATAAATAATTCCTTGCCTGCGTTGGTTTCTTTAATCCCTTCATACTAACTCTGGAAGAATAGAGATTTACTACGACCGAGCTTAATAATATGCAGCAAAGCTCTTATGTAAGAGTAAGCCCTAGACAGCGAGGAACTTTATGAAATTTTAATATTGTAGCTGGAAAATCCGAGTGACTTAATAATTCTGACAATGTTACGTCGGTCGTTGTCATAGAAAATAGTTTTGTCACAATATTAGTGGCCCCTACAAGACTAATGTGCGTTTTCGTAACGACTAACGAAATGACTTTACCCATTATCTTCAATGAGAGTAATACTACCCATTGCTCATCTAAGTACTGCCCATCATGGCAATGTTTTAGAATCCTCTAAATTGAATTAGTTTCTTTATCGGTCAGTCTCAATAAAACTATTCGAAGAGTTGCTTAGCATTACAAAACATAACATCACGCCTGTAACTCCGAAGGGGTAAGCAGAGGTGCACATTTACGACACTTAATGCCACTGTACAATGTAACACCCTCTTTTCACTATTTATGTTATGAGTCCTATGTAATAGGGGGTGAGCCTATTGCCATATACCGGGCACATTCTAGACTCCCTGCTGCTACTGAGATTTAAAAAACCCAATAATACTTTGCCCGACCCGTGAATCGAACACGAGACCCCTTGCCCGGCAGTCGCACTTGCTACCCCTCGGCCAAGGAGGCAGTACCGTTGCTTAGGCAAGTACTTTAAAATAGATTTTGACACATCTTGTGTGGACCTTGTATCAAAATTCTATCTATACTTAGCAGTTATAGGAAATGTGAGTTTAAAGGAATGAAAGCTGTAATCATTAGAAACAGTAGCCTATGACTGCTTATAAAATCAATGAGCTTCAAAGGAGATATCGTCCAGTACGTGAGTACCGGGGAGATTAGCTGGGCTCGGTAGCTGAGACCCGAGATCTGAGATCCGAGGTGAAACCGCACTCATACACTTTCTCCAAGGCCGCAGCGGCGCCGGCGCCTCCCACCACCGTTACTTTAATAATACACATGTAAAGCTCCTAATATGTCTGTCTATCTGTCCAAATGATGTCGAAAACTGCTAAACAACTTAAGAGAAACTTCCTCGTTACGAAAGCTTTACCATTTTAGAGAGAATATAATCAAAATTCAGAACACACAGATAAAGCAAAATACAGGATTTGAAGTATGTTTGACTATATCTTATTCATTTTGTATTTATCGTAGATCCTAGTACCTTCGAAATGAACGCCAAATCATATGATTTACGTCTATGACAAAAAATCATAAAACATTTCTGCCAAGCAAATCCATGAAACAAAACTAGTGGACATATAAAACACGGATACTGTTATATCACATACTATTATTGTACACTAATATTATAACTTTCGTTTACAGTTGACACTTACAAACGTCTTCCGTTTAGTCTTTATCTGATTGTATTATGAAACTAATTAGACAAGGATTAAATCTGTTCAGCCCAAATTACTTTATATACCTACTTATGTACCAGTAATTAGCTAAAGGAATTATTCGTTACGTCACTTTAAGCCAAAATGAGGTCGTCACATATTGGATTAAGTAGCTGTTAAGTGTGTTTTTTCCTTAATTCTCACTTTGTTAATTGTACTAATTAGTCGTTTGTGTTACTATGTAAAGTGTTATGTGGTTGTGTTAACATTTGTGTTGTGTATATTTTTAAATTTGGATCTGCTTTCAATGCTCAGTTGTTTTCATCAAAATCGAGTAGGCAGTAAGAGAAGCTCATGGTAAGAAAAACAGTCATAGATTAGCTATGCTTTCAAAGGTCGATTTTATACATCTTACAACTTAAGAGTCAACTGATAATTTCAAATTCATTGCCATAAATGAACATTTCAACATTTGTTTGAACAGTATCGAAAACCCATGCTTTGGGCGTCTACGACTAAGAAAACGATGAAGCAATTTAATTATTTTGTAAAAGAAATTTATCAAAGGAACCCGTGTACATGTTAATAAGATTATTCAAATCAAATAATATTTCTTAATAATTTAAGAATACAATTATTATCCTTTCTGTTTTCATTTCAGATTGAAGATAAAAAAATTGTATTAAATTAGAGTTCATCGATAATCGTAAGATGGTAACTCCAATTAACTAAAGAATTACGTTAACCATTAATCGATCGCAATCTTATTACCAAATAGAAATCTGTTATAACTTGTTCCATCTAAATAATCGTTTCAAAAGTATAGATCGGTCAAATGTTACGCTTTCTCTGAAGGTCATTTGACGGAAAGCAATCTTGATTGCCCGCGGCACGGCGTCTTGCCCCATGGATGGCTTTGAAGTTTCTCTCACTTATAATTGGATGAGACACTAATCCACAAACACTTCGCGTCATTGCGTCGAATATCCGCCAAAGCCGATAATGTTCTTAGATTCAATAATGTAATGACATTCTGACGCAACTACGTAAGTCCAACTGTCGCTATTCGAGTTTCGGAAGTCATATATTGCTTGTTCATGGTAAATTGTTTGTGAATGTACTGCTTAATTTTAATTTAAAGTAATTTTAACGATATTTCGTAACGGTTTTCGATAAATTAATTTTCATTTATGTTCGTCGATGGCGTACGTATGTACGGGAGCGCATTATGAAGTAATTTATCAGTCGCCGCGGACGTTCGCATCGTAATCCATCCTCATAAGCGACGACTGCAGAAGCGCCCACAAACCGGTAACTTAATCCCCGTCAATTTTTAACAAAATTTCACTTTGAACAAAATTTTGCTGCCACCATATTCTGTAATTACTGCGGCGATTTCCGATTAATCCGCTTCTCAGAGTTAGTAGGTAAGGTAGTCAATTTTACTAGCATATAAATGATTACTATGTTATTTAAAAATGTCAGTTTATGTTACTATAGAACTTAGAATCGATAAACAAAGTCCTTAGAATTCGAAACTAAAATTCTTATTTGCGAACATTATTTATTTCAGTAATTTTAAGTTTTACAAATGTATAGGTAGATAGATATAATTAACTTGTCGTCCGTTGACGTTTTTTATAGGTATGCTATGAGACGTATCTCGAGGCACACCAATTAAAAAAGTTTAACTCGTTGAGTACCGTCTTTATAGACACAATTGAAGAACAATGGGTTGCGGTCACCGGTGTCCTCGCGGTGTTTGACAGTTAAAATAACACAGACACAGCTCAAACTAGAACCCAATACACCACGATAAAGCCCTAAAGGTTATTGAACTCTTGAAACAAAACTGGTATAAAATTACAGCTAAATAAATATCTTGAAATATCGTTTCAAATTCTGACTGCTATAGACCACCAATATAGACTGAATAGTTCTGATATGAGATCCCTAAGCTCCAGTCGAGAGCGTCAACAAAAGGATTTCGTTCGTTATTGTGCTGATGCACTAGTAACCTGAAACAGCCCTGTTACGACCCTAAAATCGATATTAACTGGGTACAATATCGAATCGAATCTATCGAGTTCTACTCATTCGAAACACAACACGAGGTATAACTTACTTACTTATATCTTATTTATATGTACTTACTTATATCTTACGGAACATAACATTTCCAATTTAAAATCTACCTTTCGTTAAATGTAATTTGTACCATGGAATTGAGGGTGAGTCTATTACCGTACATCGCCAAATAATCAAACTAAAGACTGTGAGAAAATTAAAAAGAGTATTAATACTTTGCTACCTAGGTAGGGGTATTTGGTAGTTGCTTGCGACCACTGGACGAACGAGGCGGTTGTAAACGTGATATACAATAGAGTTATATCACAAGACAGTCATCAAGTATTTCACATCAATTTACGATTTCTCTTGTCAGTACTGTATTAAAATGTATTCAGAACTTCATTGTGTTGTGTTCCCATAGTGCTATGATATCCAAAATGCTTGATTGGATTCGTAGAATTATGCATAATTATC